GCTGGAGTGCAATGGCGCAATCTCGGCTCACTGCCACCTCCGCCTCCTGGGTTCAAGAGATTCTCCTTCCTCAGCCTCCCAAGAAGTTGGGATTACAGGCATGTACCACCACACCCAGCTAATTTTTGTATTTTAGTAGAGACAGAGTTTCATCATGTTGCAGGCTAGGTTTTAGGGAGAGATGATGATGATGATGATGATGATTATTATTATTATTATTTTCTTTTTTGAGATGGAGTCTCACTCTGTCACCCAGGCTGGAGTGCAGTGATGCGATCTCGGCTCACTGCAACCTCCGCCTCCCAGGTTTAAGCGATTCTCCTGCCTTAGCTTCTCTAGTAGCTGGGATTACAGGTGCCCACTACCACACCCGGCTATATTTTGTATTTTTAGTAGAGATGGTGTTTCACCATGTTGGCTAGGCTGGTCTCGAACTCCTGACCTCAAGTGATCCTCCCACCTCAGCCTCCTAAAGTGCTGGGATTACAGGCATGAGCCACCACATTGGGCCCACTTAGAGGAATTTTAAAAAGAATACTTAAAATTTTGGAGTGCCATGTGGTTAGTATGTGAAAATATTTAGGTTTGCCCTAAAACCTTCTAACTTATGGGTGAAAATGCCTGCTTCAATCCATATGTGTTTGTGTTTATATTTTAATTGCAGGTGATCCTAATGTAAAACTTCTAATTTATTACGGAGCTTTTGATAAAACCAAGTATCTACTGACTCATGTTTAAAATTCAAATTTCTCAAAGCATATTATGAAATATGCCCACATTATATTTAAAAAACTAAAAATAAATAATTATTGAAAAAAGCTATTGTGTCTTTGGTTCTTTACCCCAAAAGTTCAAGTGGAATTTTATTTATTTATTTATTTATTTATTTATTTATTTATTTTTTTTGAGACGGAGTCTTGCTCTGTCACCCAGGCTGGAGTGCAGTGGCCGGATCTCAGCTCACTGCAAGCTTCGCCTCCCGGGTTTATGCCGTTCTCCTGCCTCAGCCTCCCGAGTAGCTGGGACTACAGGCGCCCGCCACCTCGCCCGGCTAGTTTTTTTGTATTTTTTAGTAGAGACGGGGTTTCACCGTGTTAGCCGGGATCGTCTCTCGATCTCCTGGCCTCGTGATCCGCCCGTCTCGGCCTCCCAAAGTGCTGGGATTACAGGCTTGAGCCACCGCGCCTGGCCTCAAGTGGAATTTTAAAAATAGATTTACATAATGTTCTATTTATTTATTTTTTTATTGAGACAGAGTCTCACTCTGTCGCCCAGGCTGGAGTGCGGTAGCTTGACCTTGGCTCACTGCAATCTCTGCTTCTCAGGTTTAAGCATCCTCCCAGCTCAGCCTCCCAAGTAGCTAGGACTACAGGCGTGTATGCCAACACACATGATTAATTTTTTTTTTTTTGTAGAGACGGAGGTTTGCCGTGTTGCCTAGGCTGGTCTTGAACTACTGGACTCAAGTAGAAGTCTTGCCTCAGCCTCCCAAAGTGCTGGGATTACAGGTGTGAGCCACTGTACCCGGCCTAGATTTACATAATTTCCACTAAAACCAATTTATAAAAGACAGTAGGCTTTATAATTGTATCACATTTCCATTGTAGTACACTTCAGTTGTGGTCCTATGATAATACATTTGCAAAAGGTTTTGCGTGTTTAGTTTTAGTGCAAAAATTCAGGTTTTTGCATGGAAGCAGGCTGTGCTATGCGTCCAATTCCCAATGTTGTATTTTGTAGTAATTGCACTTAACCTTAGGGAAACTAACAAAATTACTAAGCTTTAAAATTCAGATTAAATGTAAAATGTTGGCTTTCATTATACATTTCCTATAACTGTAATTGAGAACACATACCATCTCTCAAATTTGAAAAAAATTTAGAAAAACAACAAAATTTATATATGCTTTACAGATAGTCATACCTGAGCTCTTGAGATTATCTTTGAAATTTAATACACCAAGCTCTTTCCTTGAGGAAAAACTTTCTATCCGTAAAATAATCTGAAATCAGAGTTGCTTCTAATCAAACACACTTAAATTTCAGTATCTATTTAGTGTCTTCTAGTACAGTAGGATTCTTTATTGGAAATAGAAACAATTTTTGGCTGCAATATTCTGAGTTTAACCCGAGGAAAAATATTCATTTTGATTAATTTCTGATTTTTCAGATGTTCTACTTTCAATAGACTAGTGAAATGCTGTCGTTTCTGACCTTTTATTTTTTTAAATGTGATATTCTCTTTATTAAATGCATAAACTCAAACTCCTAGTTATTTTTGGGATTTCAAGTTCATTTTACACTTTGTATTATTTAAGAAGAGCACATTTTAACAAACTCTTGCTAGAGATTTGATTCATGCTTGGTTCCATTTACAACCCCTTTATTCTTTAAGTTGCATTTATACATTTAGCATCTTTAATTTCCTTTGCTACTATTTTAATTGCCTGACCACAATAGTGACATGTGACCTGAGACCACAGACTTCTCTCCTTCTTTCTTGTATCTCTGAGATAAACTGATCATCCTGGCTACAGTATCAGCCAAGGAGTAGTGTAATCGAGTATCCCAACCTCAAAATGCATTTTAAAACTTTTTTTTTTTTCCTTTCTTGCTTTCAGCCTTGAAACATACTTTGAAATTCTTTGTTTCTCTTTTTCCCACCAGGTGCTCCCGTGCACGATGCTGGCATATCCGATTACATGCTTGCTTAGAAATTTCAGGGGGCAATTTTGAAACAAGCCAGGCAAAGAGACCCAGCTGCTGAAGTTAGTCCACCACCACTGGGCTGAGGACAGGATGACACAAACCAGACCTTCAGATGGGTAATTATCTGAGATAGCCATCAGAACAAGACATGCAGACCCGCATTCTCCTACACCACTCCCTCATGTTTTCTACACCTTTTTCCTTCTTAAATCCCTTCGCTCAGCCCAGAAGGCAGCGATGGTTCCTTTGAAGATTGAGCCTGGCTGTGATCCCATTTGCTAAAATTTGACCAATAGAAGTCACTTTCCTTTCACTACATACCAAGCTTCTCATGCTTTGACTTCTGAGCAGTGAGCAGCTGGACTTGAGCTGATTACAGACTTGGTGCCTGAGTGAGGAGCTGTGTGTTTTGTGCAGCTCAGCCTGTATGCCTGGTTTCCAGCGAGTGGAACAATTGGCCAGGCAGTGGGCTAGGGCTTACCCGCTCATGGTACTAGGCAGGGCAGGGCCATTTGCAAATGCTAGCTACTTGTGGCCAGTGGACCCTGCTACTGGGGCCTCGGGAACTCCCAATAGATGCAGAGACTGCCTTTGTCTGGGGTATTTTCCTTTGCCTCCCTTTCATGGCATCAGGTGCTATCATGCTCTGATGGTGTAAGGAAAGCAGCATTCAGTAAGTTGATGGCCTTCAGGACTGGGTAAGTGAACCAGAGTGCACCTGGGGTCGTCTGTCTCTGCCATCTGGGCTGTCCAGCCACCTGGACCTAGCATAGGTCATCTTGGTGCCATCTGAGCTTCCATGCCATCTGCACCTAACACAGGTCACTGTGTGGTGCCTTCTGGGTTTGACACAAGATCTCAGGACTTTTCTCCAGTTTCTTCTCTTTGGGGATTGGTTTGGAGTGCTCTGTCTGCATGGGATCTGTCTGTGTTTGTGTCTCTGTTTAGAGTTACCCCTTTCTCCAAGGGTGCTTTGGACCAGTCTCCATCTCACCCACCAAGACTAGGTCAGAAGGTATCAAGATAGGCTGCTTCTCTTCTCGCCAGGGGAGAAAGTTTCCAATATCCTAGCCCCTAATGTTGTCATTCTCTCTGAGACTTCCAGGGTATTTCCTGAATCCAAGTCAAGTCAAGCTTTGTGGGGGGGAGAAAGCAAGTCAACTCTCTTTTCTAGACAATCTGAAACTCCACCTGGTTACATATTATGGCCAACTTTTGTGTACATTTTAAGCTGATGGGCAAATTACAGTAAGGGAAATTCAGAGGTCAAATAGTTAACCTGCAACTCTACAGTTAAGCAGAGTCTTCTAAGGCTATTTCTCTTTTCTTTTCTGCCTTCTTTGAATCTGCTGTTATTAAGCTACTGGTGTTGAGATAAAACTTACTGTTTCCACATTACTTGGAGGTTTTGTTTTTCTTATACATTTCAGCCAGTTCTAGCTAAAATGGAAACGCTAGAAACTCACTTGAAACTGCAGAAAAAAGAAGGGTAAAAAGGTTTTCAAAACCAAACTGCCATAGAGACTGCTTTACCCAAATTTTGGTTCACAGCTTTCCTTAAATTGGGGTAAACAGCTTTCCTTAGCCATGTGAACAGGTTCCAATTTCATGGGAAAAATAATTTGGATCCAGCTATCTTTTATAAAGTGGTGAGTCTGTACTGCTATCTTATGGCTGGAGTACCAAAGTAAAAGCCATCAGATCTTTGTGCATGTAGGTGTACATGTTTAGATATGCTTGTGTGTACATACATGTGTTATGTTGTATATTGTGTTTAGCATGTTGCCAAATTGGATTATAAGTAAATGAGTACTCAATAAGTCCAGATGCTTTTCAAATTCACGTGAATCTTTGGTAAATAAAACTAAAATTTTTGATAGAAATGTCTTCAGAACTGTCAGCATACGTTTTTGTCTGAGTTTATTAACCAAATAGTTTTATATTTGTCTCTGTCTACATATTAAGGTGTCAGAGTTTAACATAAAGGTTATAGGACTATAAACCCAAACAAAACCAAAATTATCTTTGTGTAATTTTTTTCGACAAAAAGACTAATTTAGATTGTTGGTTTAATTAAAACAGCTGAATCTTCTGAGTTATTGGCAAAATGTGTTTACCTTTAAGGTTCTTGGGTGTTCACCTGCTATTCAGACTTTTTAAATGGTTAATAAATAAATAACTTTATTTATTTATTTATTGAGATAGGGTCTTGCTCTGTTGTCCAGGCTGGAGTACAATGGTGCAATCTTGCTTCACTGCAACCTCCTCCTCCCAGGCTCAAGTGATCCTCCCACCTCAGCCTCCCAACTAGCTGAACTACAGGTGCTAATTTTTGTATTTTTTTGTAGAAATGGAGTTTCTCCATGTTGCTGAGGGTGAAATAAATTTAAATAATGACTAGATATGTTTAACACCTCAGTTTTCAGAAGTAATCTAGATAAACTGTTAAAAATGGAAAAAATTGAGTACATGAAATTGAGATAAATTCATGTAAGTGAATTCTTGTATAATTTAAAATCTTAACATTATTTTCAATTGAATAATAGATGCTGTTTTGGATGTCTGTGTCATTTCCAATTAAGAAAAAAATAATGTGTGTGAAAACATGTTGCAAATTTATAATATGGGAAAACGTAATATTATGGAATGGTTTATAATATTATGGAATGGTTTGTTTCATCTATAAAATACTAATATCTGACAAACAGTTCAGGATTTCTTGCTTCATAGGTTTTTACTAAAATTTAAGGTTACCAAGAATAAAAATTCTAGTTAATACATGATCCTGTAAGTTGTGTTATTGAAAACTAACACAATACTTTTATGTAATTTGGGTGTTATTTAAAAGTTACTTCTAAAAGAAGGTAGAAAGGACCAGTAAGTAGGAGAGAGATGTTAAGAAAGTTGTGGTTATGAAGATGTATTTTTGGTAAGAAAGGTTATAAAGAAAATAAAATGGTTTTGTATAAAAATATAGTCTCATATGATAAATTTTTGTCCTAAAGAAAAATGATTATTTAGGAAAGAGAGAATTATAGGACAAGTCAGAAATGCTAAGCATGTCATGTATGGTCTGTGTAAGTCACAAAATGCTCATGAAGGGGAATTTATAAAAGGAATTTTGTGGGTTTTTTTTTTTTTTTGAGGTGGAGTCTGCTTTGTCGCCCAGGCTGGTGTGCAGTGGAGTGATCTTGGCTCACTGCTACCTCCGTCTCCCAGGTTCAAATGATTCTCCTGCCTCAGCCTCCCAAGTAGTTGGGATTAAGGGCATGTGCCACCACACCCAGCTAATTTTTGTATTTTCAGTAGAGTCAGGGTTTCACCATGTTGGCCAGGCTGGTCTCAAACTCTTGACCTCAGGTGATCTGCCTGTCTCGGCCTCTCAAAATGCTGGGATTACAGGCATGAGCCACCATGCCAGGCCTATAAAAGGAATTTTGATTAAGTTAGCTATGATTAAAAGGGAATTATTCATAATAGTCTTTCTAAAGAACAGTCCCCTATGTTTAAATGGGGTTTTCTTAAGGTATTGATTTGCTCTTAATGAAATTACAAGAAAATTTGCTTTTTAATTCTATAACCTGTTTCTTTTGAAAACTTCTCAGATTCATATCTCAAAAGTCCAGCTTTTGTTGTATCTCACTGCATTCAGCTTTTTCTGACTTTTTCTCCTGACCTTTTTTCCTGACCTTGTGATCCGCCCGCCTCAGCCTCCCAAAGTGCTGGGATTACTGGCGTGAGCCACCGTGCCCAGTCCAGATAAAAATATTCTTTAAGAAAAAGTCATTACTAAGGATAGAGAGGGTATGTACATAAAGATAAAGTATTTTAATTCACCAAGATGATAAACTGATTTAAAATTTGTACATATCTTATAGCCTTAAAAAGAATATAGCAAGAATCAACAGAAGAAAGAAAAGAAACCCAAGAAGAACTTGACAAATCCACCACCATTATGGAAGATTCTAACATATTTCTATCATTGGTAGATCATGCAGAAAAAAAATCCTGTAAGAGTGTAAAAGGTTTGAATAATACTGCTAACCAGCTTGATTGAATGCTCATTTATAGAATGTTTTGCATAAGAATTAGATAATACACATTCATTTCAAACTCCTGTGGAACATTTGTGAAAAATGACCATATATTATACCATAATCAAGTTTCAACAAAGACTAAAGATTGAAATTATGCAGTTCACCTTCTGTGATTATATTGTGTAAATTATAGATCAACAACAAAAAATACATTATTAATACATTTGGAAATGAAGATGTTCACTTTTTATACAATCCATTAGTCAAAGACAAAATTCTAATGGAAATTAGAAAAATGTTAAACTGAAAGATAATGACAATATCACATATTAAAACTTGTGGCATGCAATTAAAATAGTACTTAGAGAAAAATTGATAGCCTTAATTTCATACAATGGAAAACAAGGGAGACTAAAAATTAATGAGCGAACCATCTATCTCAAGAAGTTAGGGAAAAAACTGCAGCAAAATAAAAAGAAAGAGAAGGAAGCTAATTACTATTGTCTGAATGTTTGTGTCTCCCCCCAGAACCATGTGTTGAAGTCGTAACCTCCAATGCGATGGTATCAGGAGATGGGGCAGTTGGAGGTGAGTAGGTCATCAGGGTGGGGCCCTCATGAATGGGATTAGTGCCTCTTATAAGAAGAGGCACAAAAGAGATGATCTGTGTCTGCCATGAGAGGGCATAGCCAGGAGGCACCCTCTACGAACCCGAAAGTGAGCCCTCATCAGACACTGAATCCGTTAGAGTCTTGATCTTGGACTTCTCAGCCTCTGGAACAATGAGAAATAAATTTCTGTGTTTATAAGCTATCCAGTCTACGGTATGTTATTATAACAGCCTGAACAGACTAAGACAGAAATAATAAAGGGTAGGCCAAGTACAGTGGCTCACACCTGCAATCTCAGCACTTTGAGAGACCAAGGTGGGTGGATCGCTTGAGTGCAGGAGTTGGAGACCAGCCCGGTCAACATGGCAAAATACCATCTCTACTAAAACCACAAAAATTAGCCAGGCATAGTGGCGTGTGCCTGTGGTCCCAGCTACTTGGGAGGCTGAGGTGGGAGGATTGCTCAAGCATGGGGATCAAGGCTACAGTGAGCCATGAATGCACTGCTGTACTATAGCCTAGGTGACAGAGTGAGATCTGGTCTCAAAAAAAAAAAAAAAAAAGAGAGAGAGAGAGAGAAAGAGAATACCTTAGTAAGTGGCACAATCCATCTTTCTGGCTTCTCAGCATTTGTATCAACACAAATCTGACTTTCAAACAAGAGGACAGGCTGGGTGTGGTGGCTCATGCCTGTAATCCCAGTACTTTAGGAGGTTGACATGGGCAGATCACTTGAGGCCAAGAGTTTGAGACCAGCCTGGCCAACATGGCAAAACCCTGTCTCTACCAAAAATACAAAAATTATCTGGGTGTGGTGGCACACACCTGTAATCCTAGCTACTGGGGTGACTGAGTCAGGAGAATCGCTTGAACCCAGGAGGCAGAGGTTGCAGTGAGCCAAGATTGTGCCACTGCACTTCAGCCTGGGCAATAGACAGAGTCTCCGTCTCCAGACAAAGAAAAAAAAAAAAAAGACAACTCTATGTTTACACTTAACAGGATGCAACTATCCTTCATGTAAATGAAGACATTCTCAGTCTCTCCCCAAAATGGGGAGATGCAAAGATTCCAACAGCATTGTATTCATCCCTGGACAATGTTAATAACCCCTCAAATCCAGTCACAGTGCTGGCTAAATATTCCATTATCTAGATACTGAATTGGAAAGTTAACTTCCAACAAAACTTATCAAAAAATAGATAATAGGAAGGGGGAGAAAGAAGGAAAAAAAGTGGTTAACATATACAAACACATACACACACACAAACACAGCAAACAAGGAAGAAAAGGTTCACAACTGCTACAGTCCTTGTTTCTGTAATAGGTCATGTGGCTGTAGTTGACATTTCAATTCTGTCTTCCACTCTTCCTTGCACATATCTTTTGCTCTCAAGTGGCTAGGGCTCTTTGCATGATGGAGTGACCTAAATCTTCATCCTGAGGTGTCTGGGTCCTTAGTGGTCCTGCCTTTTTTGACTGTCACGCTTTTTTCACTTATTTTTATGGTTGGACATGCAAGTCCTAAGGGGGGCATCCTAGAGCATCCTTGGGGGTTCAGATGTGGTCCTCCCTACCTCCACCATGTGGCAGCAACCCAATTTTTCCTTGTAATAGGGATCAGTCGCCCCAGGCAGTAGAGTAATCCCTTTCTTCTCTTGGTTCAGTGGCATGAAGACTCCCAATGGCCAACAGCAGTCTCAACATCCAATTCAATGGAGCTGCAGTTGTGTCCTCTGGTGGAAGCATTTGTCTCTTGGGAGCTATGACCGTGACCTCCAAACCTGCAGAGCTCAGAGCTGTGGAGATGGGAAGAAAAATTCTGCAAGCAGGTTATTAGGTGTTCAGTGAGAGGAGCTGCTCCCATGTCTATCTGGAATCCTATATTCTGGTGACGAGAGAAAAAGCATCACATTCTGACTGATTTGTGATCCAAAGCATAAACTGCATCCTGTACAATAGAAGTCAAATCCTTTCAAGTTCTTCTTTCACCCTGGACGATTTTCTCTTGAGAGATCATTTATCGTACCAGAAATCTGGTATGGTAAAGCAGATTTTGGAGGCAAAGACAGGGAGGTGAGGCCTGAGTCTTGAAACAGAAAGAAAAGAGGACCATAGAGAGAAAGCACACAGAGGGGCCCAGACTTTGTGTTGTTCATGTCCTTGAGTGAGGGGTTAACAGGGAGAAGAAGAGTCAGTAGAGGAGTTCTCATAAGAAGAACTCATAAGTGCCACATGAATTGCTCTAAAGACAGAGTCTCAAGGAGAGAGGCTCAGCACTTCCAGGCACCACAGGTTAGCCAGCAGAGAGGGATGAGCTTGGCTCTGGGCATCCCTTGCTAGGGCACCCATTCTCTGTGAACTCTTGTGCCTCAATCTCATTGACTGGCTTTCGAGGCTTAAAGCAGAAAAGCACCGTGTAACTTGGCTTAGGAATTGCTCTTAGGCAAATCTATAGATCCTGGTCTTTTTACATCTACTCTCCCCAGAAGCCAGCAGTGGGAGCTCCACTGATGAGTCCAAATGGAAAACGTTCCTGGGTATTTTTGGTTCCCAGCCCCATCTTCCAGCCTGGAGAGGAGGGTTGTAACAGTTCACAACATGAGTTCTGGTCAAAATTCAGTTACTCCAGCAGCAAAAGCCAAACCTGTGAGAGGCAGAGGGGTTGTGCCTTCAGACTGGCTCTTGTACAGGGTGAGAAGACCTTGTGCTGATAGGACTCACCTGTTTGGCACAGGCGGCACCCATTGGCGCTGTTCATGGTCCTGAACTACAGCTGCTGGTCTCTCTCTCTCTCTCTCTTTTTTTTTTTTTTTGAGACGGAGTCTTGCTCTGTTGCTCAGGCTGGAGTGCAGTGGCACGATCCTGACTCACTGCAACCTCCGCCTCCGGGTTCAAACGATTCTCTGCCTCAGCTTCCCGAGTAGCTGGGATTACAGGTGCCCACCACCACGCCCAGCTAATTTTTGTATTTTTAGGAAAGATGAGGTTTCACCATGTTGGTCAGGCTGGTCTCAAACTCCTGACCTCAGGTGATCCGCCCGCCAAAGTGCTGGGATTACAGGTGTGAATCACCGCACCTAGCCCAGCTGTTGGTCTCTATTGCACTCTCCTTCCACTTTCCATAGAGTCAGGGGTGACTTCAGTTCAGCCCTTCCCAAGAATTGGGAATCAAATTAGCAAGGACGTGAGAGGAGAGGGGAAAATGGCTGGAATCCTTTGGAGAATACTGCTGCTGAGACTTTTCCAGGGAGAAGAAAATGGGATTTTTTCTTTTGGTCATCTTTGACAAAGTTTTACAATTATCAAGACCTCTGAGTAGCTGGGAAGCACATGACAACACTACACCACATCCCTCTGCTGGTAAGTTTATAGAAGGGGATGGAGACCCAGGACTGTGAGTTCCTGGAGTGCAGGGTCCATATTGGACTCCCTTATCCCTTGCCAGTGTACAAGGCAGGCATTCAATAAGTGTTGTTTGAACTGATAAGATGTTGGGTGTAAGAGACTAAGTACAAGAATACCTCAGAGATACGGTAGGTTTGGTTCCAGACCACCACAATGAAGTGAATATTGCAGTAAAGCAAGGCACGCAATTTTTTTTTTGTTTCTGATACATATAAAAGTTATGTTTATACTGTAGCCTATTAAGTGTGCAATAGCGTTATGTCCAAAAAAGTACATACCTTAAAAATATCTTATTGCTAAAAAGGCTAATGATCATCTGAACCTTCAGTGAGTTGTAATCTTATTGCTGGTGGAGGGTCTTGCTTTGATGTTGACAGCTGCTGACCAATCAGGGTGGTGTGGTTGCTGAGGGCTGGGGTGGTGGTGGCAATTTCTTAAAATAAGACAACCATGGGCTGGGTGTGGTGGCTCACGGCTGTAATCCCAGCCCTTTTGGAGGCCAAGGTGGGTGGATCACCTGAGGTCAGGAGTTCGAAACCAGGCTGGTCAACATGGTGAAACCTCGTCTCTACCAAAAATACAAAAATTAGTCAGGCATGGTGGCAAGTGCCTGTAATCTCAGCTACTTGGGAGGCTGAAGCAGGAGAATCACTTGAATCTGGGAGGTGGAGGTTGCAGTGAATCAAGATTACACCACTGTACTCCAGCCTGGGCGACAAGAGTGAAACCCCATCTCAATAAATAAATAAGACAACAATGAAATTTGCCACATCGATTGACTCTTCCTTTCATGAAAGATTTATCTGTAGCATGTGATGCTGTTTTATAGCATTTTACCCATAGTAGCACTTCCTTCAAAATTGGTGTCAGTTCTCTCAAACCTGCTTTATCAACTAAGTTTCTATAATATTTAAAATGCTTTGTTGTTATTTCAACATGTTTACAGCATCTTCACCAGGAGTAGATTCCATCTCAAGAAACCACTTTCTTTGCTCATCCATAAGAAGCAACTCATCATTCACTCAAGTTTGATCATGAGATTGCAGCAATGCAGTCACATCTTTAGGCTTCACTTCTACCTCTAGTTCTCTGGCTATTTCCACCACATCTGCAGTTATTTCTTTTACTGAATCTTCAACTCCTCAAAATCATCCACAAAGGTTGGACTCAACTCCTTTCAAACTCGTGGTAGTTTGATATGTTCATAATGGCACTTAGAATGATAAATGCTTTCCAATAGGTTTCAATTTATTTTGCCCAGATCCAGACTTGAAAGCTGAAAGGACTCCTTGGTCCATGGGCTGCAGAATGGACGTTGTGTTAGCAGGCAGGAAAGCAACATTCATCTCCTTGTGTGTCTCCAGCAGAGCTTTTGGGTTCCTAGGTCCATTGTCAATGAGCAGTAATATTTTGAAAAGAATATTTTTTTCCAAGCAGTAGATATCAACAGTGGGCTTAAAATATTCAGCAAACCATGCTGTAAACAGATGCGCAGTCATCTAGGCTAGAGCACTGGCAGAGTAGATTTAGCATCATTCTTAAGGGCCCTAGGATTTTCAGAATGGTAAATGAGCGTTGACTTCAACTTAAAGTCACCAGCTGCACTAGCCCCTAACAAGATAGTCAGGCTGTCCTTTGAAGCTTCAAAGCCAGGCATTGTCTTCCCCTCTCTAGCTGTGAATGTTCTAGATGGCATCTTCTTTCCTTTGAAGCTTCAAAGTCAGGCATTGCCTTCCCCTCTCTAGCTATGAAAGTTCTAGATGGCATCTTCTTTCAATAGAAGGCTATTTCATCTACATGGAAAACCTGTTGTTCACTGTGGCCACCTTAATCAATGATCTTAGCCAGATCTTCCGGACAACTTGCAGCTGCTCCATCAGCACCTGCTGCTTCACCTCACACTTTCATGTTATGGAGACAGTTTCTTTCCTCAAACCTCATGAACCAACCTCTGCTAGCTTCAGACTTTTCCTCTGCAGCTTCCTCACCTCTCTCAGCCTTCATAGTATTGAAGAGAGCTGGGGCCTTTCTCTGGATTAGGCTTTGGCTTAGGGGAATGTCATGGCTGGTTTGATCTTCTATCCAGACCACTCAAACTTTCTCCATATCAGCAATAAGCCTGTTTCACTTTCTTATCTCTCATGTACTCATTGGAGTGGCGCTTTTAATTTCCTTCAAAAGCTTTTCCTTTGCATTCACAACTTGGCTAACTGCATGGCGGAAGAGGCCTAGCTTTCAGCCTATCTCAGTTTTTGACATGTCTTCCTCATTAAGCCTAATCATTTCTAGCTTTTGATTTAAAGCAAGAGACATGTGACACTTCCTTTCACTTGAACACTGAGAGGCCATTGTAGGGTTATTCATTGGCCTAGATTCAATATGGTTATATCTCAGAGAATAGACAGGCCAGAGCAGAGGGAGAAAGATGGGGAACAGCTGTTGGTGGAGCAGTCAGAACACACACAACATTTATCAACTAAGTTTGCTGTCTCATGTGGGTGTGGTTTGCAGTGCCCGAAAACAATTACAGTGGTAACATCAAAGACACTGATCACAGATCACTGTAACAGATAGAATAATAATTTAACAGTCTGAAATATTGTGAGAATTACCAAAACGTGACACAGAGACCCCAAAGTGAGTATATACTGTTGGAAAAATCATGCCAGTACTCTTGCTCCATGCAGGGTTACCAAAAACCTTCCATGTGTAAAAAAACACAGTATCTGTGGCTCAATAAAGTGAAGCCCAATTAAATGAGGTGCATCTGCACTCAGGATAAGTTTTGCTTTCATCCCTCCTCTAAGGAGAGGAAAAGGGCTCAAATTCGAGGTCCAACTATGTGTCAGGCATTTGATATTAGGGTCTTTCACTTAATTCTCATAGGAGATTTATCACAAATTTCCCAAACAAGAATCAGCCTCATAGAAGTGAGCCTCCTGAGTGAGACTCTATGGCTCCTAAGTGGGGAATCTAGGGCTCGAACCCAGGTCTTGCTGATCCCATGTTTTTCTCACTATCACTGGATACTTCCTTCTTATGCAAAGAGAGAAATGCAAATTCTACAAGAGAAAAATGGGCTCGCAGTCCAGACAAGCATCTTGATTAATGTCTGGAGGTCATGTTAAAAGGTTAGAAAGTTGGTTTTGTCTGCTGGGCATGGTGGCTCATGCCTGTAATCCCAGTACTTTGGGAGGCCGAGGCGGGCGGATCACCTGAAGTCAGGAGTTCGAGACCAGTCTGGCCAACATGGTGAAACCCTGGCTCTACTAAAAATACAAAATTAGCTGGGCGTGGTGTCATGTGCTTGTAATCCCAGATACTCAGGAGGCTGAGGCAGGAGAAGAGCTTGAATCTGGGAAGCAGAGGTTGCAGTGAGCCGAGATTGCACTGTTGCACTCCAGCCTGGTCCAGAAGGGCGAAACTCTGTCTGAAAAAAGAAAAGTTTGTTTTGTGATGGCAGCTGTTGCTAATCAGGGTGTGGAGTCAGGAGCATACGTCTAGGGTTGGAGAGCTTAGGAGCTTAGGTGTAGGAGCTTCAGTCTAGTCAAGAGCTTAGGTCTAGGGTTGAACTCAGATCTCGACATGGACCAGGCTTTCCCCCTGTCTCAGTGCCTCATTTTGGTTCAGTTTTAGGCAGCAAAAGTAACGAATGATTTCCAACTACAGAAGCCATCATTCGGAGAGCCAATAAAGATACAACAGATCTGGCAGGAGAACAAGATCCAGCCCAGGTGATGGGGTGTGAGGCTCGAGACTAGCTACAGGTAGGTCATTTCCCTTAGCTCCTGGATGACTCAGCTTGGCAGCCACCCAGACTTCTATCAGGACTCAGAGGTGCAGCCAGCTCTGGAGCCGTGTCAGGTCAGCTTTCTCCCCATGTCACCAGGGAATGGAGATTTTTCTGGTCTGCTGGGGCTTTTCCTAATTCTGCATGGTCTGCTTGAGTGCTACTCTTCACCTATCGCTCTGCCTAGGCTGTGTTGCCCTTATGAGCCGTCTTCACAAGGTACGTTGGGAGGATGTCAGGATGTCTTCCAAAGGATCTGTAGACATGCTTTGAAGTACCTATGGAGCCAACGTCCCCTTTGCTTCAAGCTTCTCTCCTGCTGTAGGAAATAGTGTATATGGTGGTCAATTTCCAAGGCAAAGTGCCTCGAATAGGCTTGGGTCCACAACCTGAGGAAGGACAGGATATACAGGAAGGACAAGGCCCCTGCTTGTTGGAGGCCCCTTAGTTACACTCACTCGAAGCAGAGTTTAGTCTAGGATGAAAGTTTACTAGCCTGCAAAATAGCTCGCTTTGTCTATTCTTATCAGCTTGCCTGACCACCTGGGTCATAAGTCAAATACTTGAAGAGCACCTTAGCTGACTATGATTGCAGTGCATTATGGGCCACAGCAAACTGC